GACTGGGGATCACAATGGCAAGTAAGTGTTGCCACCAACAAGATCCAGGCAATGGTTGTATCCCGGTCTCCAGCTGCATCAGACGTCATGAAGGACAAGATCGTAATGAACACTACCACCCTTCTACTCGAGGACTTTATTTCAATCCTTTGGTTTGGACATCGACAACGAGCTCAGATTTAACACACGTCAGCAGAATCTGCAAAACAGCTTCTCTGAAGGTGACAGCTCTCCGATGTATATCCTGGTGGAAGTTCCGAGTTCACGGTCTTGCCAGCATCAGCGAACCTTCTCAGCCAGAGCAGCGCGAATGTGGAGTGAATTCACATGTACCACCGATGTCGCCGAAATGACCACGCAGCAAGTGAAGACGGCGGCGCACCGATGGCGGTCGAGCAAACTGTCACCTCTGAATCCCCTGTACACTCATGGCGATACATGAGGCAACACTGTATATAACCTTGTTATTCATTAATTCCTTTTATTTGTTTGTTTGGTTTCATAGATAAAGCTGGTTATTGTGTACGAAAAAGTAGGTTGGGTTTTCAGATCAGCTCCTTTAGATAGGTAACTTTTAACCCGCAAAAAGAAACCTGTAAGTTCTAAATAAACTGGTTTCAACCTTTATATATCTGTATGATGATTATAAATAAAGATGTTTAAAAGAGAGAGAGAGACAGACAGACAGACAAAGAGTGAGATAGAGAGAGAGAGACAGAAGTGTGAGAGAGAGAGACCGAGAGTGAGAGAGAGAGAGACAGACAGAGACAGAGAGAGCGTCTAGTGGCCTGTTCCCATCGTCGCCCTCCCCTCGCAGACCACGAAAGCCATGTGTTCTTATTTCATCCTGTCCTGCGCCCCCAACGAGATGACATGACGAAGTGACCGTCAAATATTCTAATTTGACCCTTCTTGCTCACATACATTTTCCATGTTTTTATTCTGATGTCTTCTTGTACAAATATATCATGTTTATACTTAAAATGTTCCTTAGAAAATGCTTATTCTGAATTACTAAGAATATAAGCACTTTTATTATTGATATTCAAATGTTGAATGTTTTATGTAGAGTCAGCCAGTTTGTTTCCCAGCCATAATGTTTAAGTTGTAAAAACATACCCAGTGTGTGTGAACCATACCTTGTTCCTTCTTCACAAAACGGTCATGTGACCTAGATTTGTGTCCATTCAAATTCTTCCATGTTTCCCATTGTGAACTATTCCTGTGCCATCGCAACAGATCGCTCGTCCCTGCAGGCTTGGCAGGACATGGACCCCCTTGGCATCTCTGCCTTGCCCCTCTGTAGAAGCTACTCCCGCATAAATAAACTAAATCTGCAGCAACTCCACTACCACCATCATGGAACTCACCAGTGCACTAGTACCTTAGTGCCTCACCGCTTCAGCCATCTACCATATACCAAGAAGTGGGGGACACCTCGCCTTCACTCATTAAACTGGTGGCAGCAGTGGGATAACCTTCCACTTCATGACACTGATTTCATTCTAGTGGGATTACTGCACCACACGCCTCTCTGAAGATCGCATCACACTCTTTCTCCGAAGATAACGAAATTACTTGAAGTCCTCTGAAGATCCCATTACACAAGCGCCTCCGAAGATAACGCATCACGAAGCTCCACTGCAAAGATATCCCACCATACGTCTTTTGAAAGATAATTTATCTGCTCCTTCAAGCGGAGAAGACCTCATCGACATCTGTCATTTCAAGACTTCCAACATCAATCACGAAGCCAGTCTTCCCTGTTGTCGCTGTTGTCCCTGCCAGTACCTCAAGGTGAGTTTCCTTTATCCTCGCTGTTCTCATCTGTTTAGGAAATCCCCTGTGAAGTGCTGTCTGATTTACTCTCATTCTTACAAACACCTGTGTTCCTCCTCACATAGAAAACGAGATCTCCCCTCAGCTAGCATTTGTCTGCCCTCACTCCGAGTGCCCCTCATTCATGTCCTGTGGTTAATTTAACTTCGTTAATTTCCCTGTAATTCTGTCTACCTATGAGTACTTAATTCGTTTTCCTGTTACTCTGCGTCATGATGATTTCTGAATCTCCACGATGCTGAATTCCAGTTCATTCATTATGAAATACTTTTCACAGGAAAATCTTTTTTGCACTTGTTCGCATCTGTTCAGTAATTCTCTTATTAGGATTAACTATCCTGTATCTTAGCATAAGGTCTTTTTTCCGGCGCCAAGAGTTGTATTACTACAGTTTCCTATGACTCCGCCCCTAATTATGGGGGCGGTGTCATATATAAGCAACTGCACCTGGCTGATGAGCGTGCGGAGCACCTCTGTTCAAAGTTGATGCTACATTGTATGGTGCAATATTAGTAACGTTGATGATGTTAATGACGATATTATTGCACTAAGTACTAGTTTTAAAGTATTTACGCGCGCGCGCGCGTGTATGTGTGCCTATATGTATATATATTATATATACATACAGAAATGTGTACATACATACATACCTATATGTACACTATACACACATATATATTTAAACACATATGTATACACACATGCATATATAAATATATATATATATGATATATATATATATATATATATATATATATATATATATATATTAATATATACATAATATATGCATTAATGTATGTATATGTATACCCACACACACACACACACACACACACACACACACACACACACACACACACACACATAATATATATATATATATATATATATATATATATATATATATATATATATATATATATATATATATATATATGCAGAAATAAAATATTAAAAATATACACTACTATCATATATAACTATATATAGAGTAAGGTTTATATGCTTTCGTATTAATAGGGCTACGGCTAAGAAGAGCGAGGTTCAGGTTTATCTTTCGTATGTGTACATTTTTATGAGAAATGTCATGAAAGGCTTGTTACTATTTTTCTTATATCATTTATGCTTTAATCTTGGGCAATATTCAGGCCTCCAAAAGTGTTCCGTGACGAATAATATACGGGGAAGTATCTCAAATTTACATAATGTGTTCGAATGGTTAAAAGAATATTATGAAATCTATATTAGGTTTTACATAATCATTTTACTTATTATGTATGTATAATTGAATATGCACACGTAAACATATATCCTTTTGAATGTAGTTGATATCAATCAATAAATAATGTCATTTTCAAAATATTTAAAGAAGTGTGACCTTCGAAACCATTGTCGATGGACGAATGAAGAAGTATGATGCGAGGCGCTTATGGCCCGCGCATTTTCAACTGATTTTGATAGTTTTCCGTCGTTTGATTTGTCATTTGAAGATGTTGATAACTAACAACTTGTATGTATTGTTATTTCCTAATGTTACATCAGTAAACCAGTGATTTGTTAATTGATACCTGTGGCAACAGCGACGAAGCATCGGCAGCGTTGCTGTCGCGATCGGCCCGGAGAAATGTCGCAAATGAAAAAAACCACACTTTCTAGTGTAGTTAGACAGTTTCTTGGCACCGGAAAAAAAGGCCTATACACCTTCCTTTCATTTCAGAAGAAAGATTAATCCTGCATTTTCGCATGCATCTACTCTCATTTATCTAAAGGAAATATGTTCTATGATATATCTACCCTCACTTTCACAAGAATATTTGCTGTCCTGTGTTCTTTCACGTGCATTCTACAAACTATGACATGGAGAATCATTCCTGAATCTTGCATGGCTCTGTAAACGTGCAATGTCCACAAGAATTTACTCAATATCGATTGTCCATTACTACCTTCCATCTCATGTGAATGTTGCAATTAACACTTCTGAATACTTGACACATTACTTCCAATAATTTCGTAATCATTATGAGTTCGTGTTGATATTGTAACTCCCTGAGATATGGCTTTATGTCTTCTGTCGCTAAGACAGAAGACATAATTCCTCAGAGCCAGACGCCCTGTGCTGAAACGCCATTGCTGACCTTGACTCTCGGATCACCACGTCGCTGCCCTCGCCGCCGATCCTTGGCGCATCATGTTTCGCTCGCCCTCACGGACGTCCTCACCTGCCGACGCTCTCTCGTTCTCTTCTGCACGTCGCTGCAACTCCGGTCGTGTCCGCCGCCTCTTCCGCTGGTTACTACCGCCGAATGTCCTCACTGTCGCATCACCTGCCGACGCTCTCCTGTTCTCCTCGTCGTTGCAACTCCGGCCGTGTCCACCGCTTCGGCGGTGTCCCTATGTGTCCTGGGAGGCCCAGGACACATAGGGACGGGGGCACAGGACACATAGACGGCTTCACCGTGAGGGTGCATGGGAGGCCCAGGACACAGGGGGCGGGGGCACAGGACACATAGACGGCTTCACCGTGAGGGTGCATGGGGGAGGACACATAGGGGGCGGGGCACAGACACATAGACGGCTTCACATGGGGCATGGGAGCCCAGGACACATAGGGGCAGGGCACAGGACACAGACGGCTTCACCGTGAGGGTGCATGGGGGACCCAGGACACATAGGGGGTGGGGGGACACATAGACGGCTTCAAATATAGGGGGCGGGGGCACAGGACACATAGACGGCTTCACCGTGAGGGTGCATGGGGGACATGGGGGACCCAGGACACATAGACGGCTTCACCGTGAGGGTGCATGGGGGACCCAGGACACATAGGGGGCGGGGGCACAGGACACATAGACGGCTTCACCGTGAGGGTGCATAGGGGGACCAGGACACATAGGGGGCGGGAGGCACAGGACACATAGACGGCTTCACCGTGAGGTGCATGGGGGCCAGGACACATAGACGGGTGAGGGTGCATGGGGGGAGCCCAGGACACATAGGGGGCAGGGGGCACAGGACACATAGACGGCTTCACCGTGAGGGTGCATGGGGGACCCAGGACACATAGGGGGCGGGGGCACAGGACACATAGACGGCTTCACCGTGAGGGTGCATGGGGCCCAGGACACATAGGGGCGGGGGCACAGGACACATAGACGGCTTCACCGTGAGGGTGCATGGGGCCCAGGACACATAGGGGCGGGGGGCACAGACACATAGACGGCTTCACCGTGAGGTGCATGGGGCCCAGGACACATAGGGGGCAGGGGCACAGGACACATAGACGGCTTCACGTGAGGGTGCATGGGGGACCCAGGACACAAGGGGGCGGGGGCACAGGACACATAGACGGCTTCACCGTGAGGGTGCATGGGGGGCCCAGGACACATAGGGGCGGGGCACAGGACACATAGACGGCTTCACCGTGAGGTGCATGGGCCCAGACACATAGGGGCGGGGACAGGACGGCTTCACCGTGAGGGTGCATGGGACCCAGCATAGGGCGGGGGCACAGGACACATAGACGGCTTCACCGTGAGGGTGCATGGGGCCAGGACACCGGAGGCCAGGACACATAGACGGCTTCACCGTGAGGCATGGGGGCCCAGGACACATAGACGGCTTCACCGTGAGGCATGGGGACATGGGAGCCAGGACACATAGGGGGCAGGGGGCACAGGACACATAGACGGCTTCACCGTGAGGGTGCATGGGACCCAGGACACATAGGGGGGGGGCACAGGACACATAGACGGCTTCACCGTGAGGTGCATGGGGCCCAGGACACATAGGGGCCACATAGACGGCTTCACCGTGAGGGTGCATGGGGGACCCAGGACACATAGGGGGCGGGGGCACAGGACACATAGACGGCTTCACCGTGAGGGTGCATGGGAGGCCCAGGACACATAGGGGGCGGGGCACAGGACACATAGACGGCTTCACCGTGACGGTGTATGGGAGGCCCAGGACACATAGGGGCGGGACAGGAACATAGACGGCTTCAGTGACCCAGGACACATAGGGCGGGGGCACAGGACATAACGGCTTCACCGTGAGGGTGCATGGGGGACCAGGACACATAGGGGGCGGGGCACAGGACACATAGACGGCTTCACCGTGAGGGTGCATGGGGGGCCCAGGACACATAGACGGCTTCACCGTGAGGGTGCATGGGGACCCAGGACACATAGGGCGGGGGCACAGGACACATAGACGGCTTCACCGTGAGGGTGCATGGGAGGCCCAGGACACATAGGGGGCGGGGGCACAGGACACATAGACGGCTTCACCGTGAGGGTGCATGGGGCCCAGGAACATAGGGGCGGGGGCACAGGACACATAGACGGCTTCACCGTGAGGGTGCATGGGGGCCCAGGACACATAGGGGCGGGGGCACAGGACATAGACGGCTTCACCGTGAGGTGCATGGGGGCCCAGGACACATAGGGGGCGGGGGGCACAGGACACATAGACGGCTTCACCGTGAGGGTGCATGGGGATAGGCACCGTGAGGGCATGGCCCAGGACACAGGGGGCGGGGCACAGGACACATAGACGGCTTCACCGTGAGGGTGCATGGGGGACCCAGGACACATAGGGGGCGGGGGGCACAGGACACATAGACGGCTTCACCGTGAGGGTGCATGGGAGGCCCAGGACACATAGGGGCGGGGGCACAGGACACATAGACGGCTTCACGTGAGGGCATGGAGGCCCAGGACACATAGGGGGCGGGGGCACAGGACACATAGACGGCTTCACCGTGAGGGTGCATGGGGGACCCAGGACACATAGGGGCGGGGCACAGGACACATAGACGGCTTCACCGTGAGGGTCATGGGGGGACACATAGGGGCGGGGGCACAGGACACATAGACGGCTTCACCGTGAGGGTGCATGGGGGCCCAGGACACATAGGGGGCGGGGGCACAGGACACATAGACGGCTTCACCGTGAGGTGCATGGGGGGAGGACACATAGGGGCGGGGGGGCACAGGACACATAGACGGCTTCACCGTGAGGGTGCATGGGGGACATGGGGGACCCAGGACACATAGGGGGCAGGGGGCACAGGACACATAGACGGCTTCACCGTGAGGGTGCATGGGACCCAGGACACATAGGGGGCGGGGGCACAGGACACATAGACGGCTCACCGTGAGGGTGCATGGGGGCCCAGGACACATAGGGGGCGGGGGCACAGGACACATAGACGGCTTCACCGTGAGGGTGCATGGGCCCAGGACACATAGGGGCGGGGGCACAGGGCACATAGACGGCTTCACCGTGAGGGTGCATGGGGGAACATAGGGGGCGAGGCACAGGACACATAGACGGCTTCACCGTGAGGTGCATGGGGGCCCAGGAACACATAGGGGGCAGGGGACACAGGACAGGGCATAGACGCTTCACCGTGAGGGTGCATGGGGGACCCAGGAAGCATAGGGGCGAGGGCACAGGAACATAGACGGCTTCACCGTGAGGTGCATGGGGGCCAGACACAGACGGCTTCACCGGA